GAGTTTTCTTCTTCAGCGGCTCTGCAGACCCCAGCTGCGGTATCTTCCCATCTATTTTTTGGTTTGCCCGTTGTTCTACTGCCATACAATTTGCGATATAATGCTTTCTTTGGCAGTCTTATCATCTTCCATCCTCACCAAGTGACCTGCCCACCATAATCTCTGCAACAGGTGACTCCTTATACCGTTGATAGATTCCTGTGTTATAAATTGTCCTCTGTATGCTGTTTCTTGTATGAGGCCTAGAATTTGTCTTCAGACTTTCCTTTCAAAGATGTTAATTTTATTCTTGATATTTTCATTGAGCACCCATATTTTGCACACCCAACACATAACAGGCCAAATAGTAGATTTATATATTCTTAACATTACTTGCCTGTGTACAGATCTTGGCCAGAAGATGTGTAACAGGGTAAAATAAGCTTGATTGGCCAGGGATATCCTTCTTATTATCTCGGCCCAGAGGTGGATTTTACAGCCACGAATTAATGGAGTACAGTGTAACGCTAGTATGCAGAATTTGTGTTAGAGATTATGTCTCAATGAAATGGAGAAAATCTGGGGCATTTGCTGTTTTTAAGTTGTATTTTGACCTGACTTGCTTGTTAGTTTTCTTAATTGCAAATCTACAAATTTTTTAAATAAAAGTGTTGTTGAAGTAGGTCAACTTCAAATTTATCTGTGGCCTATATATTTGATTTGTCACATTGCAGGATCCTTAGTAATGCCTGGTGAAGTTTACCCATTGCAACTGCAGAAGGATCATCCTCCCCAGGTGAGTAGAAATAAAGAAGTTTTTAAGAAATGGTTTAATTCTATTAATTTAATTATATTCAGCCCTAAAAAGAGAGGGGAAGAAAAGAAAAAAAATGAAGAAGAAAAAATGACTTAAAATGTCAAAAATAAACTTTGATGTGCACAAAACTAATAAGAAATTGCCTACAAAATTCATTAACACAGATAATCCTAAATTAATTTTATTCTTCTTCGAAATTGAGTTATATGCGAGATTCTCTAAGAAGGTATTTTCAAATAAACATGAAAAGTGAGTTTTGTGGTTAGAACCACAACTAACTGCTATATAAACGAAAGAAACTTATCAACTTGTTTTATGCTACTGCATGATGGGCTTCTGTAGCTACAAATATGAAGGGGTTCATCACATTTTAGACATATTGAAGGGGATATTTCAGTTATTTCTTTTGTTTTTGTCTGTTGGTAATTCAGCAACTTAATGTTCCCTTTTCATCAAATCAAAAATCTTGCTGTGCTTTCTATTAGTAGTCACTCTTTTGTTACATTCTTGTACTGACAGTGAAATGTCAGGTATACTGTGTCTTCATTGATTGTAAAGATCCCAGGTAATTTTGCTCTGCAGTATGAAATGAACCACTTTTTCAGCTCGATCTATGTCCCCCATATGAGCTTTGTAGGAATGCAGTGGTGTAGGCACAGGTATGCTAATTCTTTTCTTTTTTGCTAGAAAAAATTTCTACAGAATGCAATGGTTGCATGTGACAAATTGATGGCTATAGGAACAACACTGTTGTCATTGCATCAAACTGACCCTGAATGAGGAAACCTGATACTGAGTCCGAACAAACTTCATATGATAACATTTGTAGATAAAATTATAACAGAATAGATGTTAACTCTTTCCTCTTATTACTCCAGTTGATTCCGTACCCCTCTTGTTTAGGTCATGCTGTAGTTCAATACTTGTAAACAGGTTATCAAAGAAAATTTGATATGAAACATATGGAAGTGACTGGTTCACAAAGGTCATTACCACGTTGTAGACTATACCTTTGTTTCACAATCTTTACATGTGCCAGCTCCTTGGTTGGGTTCAAGCTGAAAAGTATACACACCACTGGTAATTCCATACCAGAATTTAAATCTGCGTGTTTTCTTTTGTGAAATATTTGCAACTGTATGGTACCATAGATTCTTCAACAGAGTGGTACTGCACATGAGATGCAAAGTTGTTTGATTCTATCACTTATCATGAGCCGTAGTGGATGGATTCTCTACAAAAAATATGATCTCACTAAATTGTCGCAGACATCACAAGAGCAGTAACATTTAGTTGCCTTGCTAGAAAGAAAGGTTCTTGTTACTTGTATGTGCTTTGCTGTTTTTTTTATACTTTCTCAAAGTAGTTTCTCTATAGTTTATATTATGTGCTTTCTAAAAGTCAGTAGACTCATTCACTTTTTTGCATCTGTCAAGGGTTCTTTGTAATATAAATATTGCATCTTTTGTACTCCTTTCTATTCTCCCAATAATGTTTCACTCTATTCGTTCATTCTATTTCTCAGTACGTTGACAAATAATTTTGATGCTGTGGACACAGCATTGATTCTTGTTTTTAAAATATAATAAAAAAATAAATAATAAAAAATAAAAAGGCATTGAAGTGCATTACTGTTGATAGATGTAATGTCCCTGTTCTGCCACATAAGGACTAGGAAGATTCTGGGTTGTAAGTAGTACGTTGATTCTTAGAACATAAGTTTCTTCCACAATCCACATAGACAATCATAAACATATACAAATCTTCATCAAGTTCTTGTTGACACTCACTAGTGATGACCAGCTCAGGCAATTAAAATATTGATGTGATACATGAGATTTCCCCCACGCCACAACCATAACTGAAAATATTTGCACCTTATGTATAATTCGAACTGACAGCCGTAGCAATAAGTTTGGAGTACCTATTCCTAGACCATGTGCCTTGAAGTCTGCTGGTTTGATCGTACTCTTTGGAAATGTGTTATGGTTGTGTAAAATGATAATTTAATAAAAATATAAGCAATGCAAGCAAAATTGACCATTTTGATACTTGTCACCCGTAATGTGCTTTGCAGCATTAAGTGTAAGTACTACGATGACATATGACACCATCCTTTGCTTTAGCAACGAAGAACACAGTATGTTAGGTTTTAAAAGCTATCAACATTGCACTCAGAAATGAACAAATTGCACAAAATTAAATAACTTTGCAGAAAATGTTGTAGAATGCAATATACAACTCTTATCTCTAATAACAATGATTTAAATTTTCTTTCCTCGAAGTATTATTGAGGAAATTGTGATTTTCAAAGAAATGAGTACCTATATTTTTCAAATTTTTGGGCATTCAAATGGGATTACCAAAATGTTATAGTAGAGCAAAACCTTTCTTTGTATGAACATTTTTTAGTGAAAAAAATTGGAGCCATTTGTGAGAAAGTCTCATTGGATCATTGAAAATGCGCAATTTGAGCACATTGACTCATGAATAATTCTGAGATCTCCAAAACCTTAATAAGAGATGATATAAAGCATTTGTGCTAATTAATGCATCAAAATATTAAATAGCTACTTCTTTCTGTCACATAAATTGTTGATGACGTGAGAGAGTTTTCCAAGTACTGGTGCTACTACAGCACTGACGCCCTGCATTATAGAGAATGGTTGCATATTATAAAAAAGTAATAATAATATATTTGTCACATAAATATAGCATAAACTTTACATGATAAGTCAGGATATGTACTTAATTATACAATGTACAATACAGAAATTTCTAATACCTGAATTCAATACAGATATCAAAATTAAATTCAAATTTGATACTAAGTGCAATACACAAAGCTTTTATGTAATTTTTAATGGAAAATAATATTGTACAATACAAAGCAAATTATTTTATGAGTGACACTGTAAGAAGACTAAAATAAAAAACCAATAATAATTAGGGCCCAAATGTTTGACATATTTTCTTTGTATTATTTCCATGAAAAATATGAGTTATGCATGATTTTATCTACAAATACTAAAATTATGCAATTTTCATATGGTCATATTTTTGATTTTTTAAAACCCTTCTGTCATTTTCTGTTAATTTGTCATATTACAGTCATATTTTTCAATGAATTTTCGCATTTTTTGTCATTTTTATCTTTTTGATTTCATTTTTCCAAATTATCTTGCAGTACTTTCAGAAAGATTTTAAAGTCTCCTAATTGTTATCTAATTTCTTACAGTTGTATCTGTCTTTCCTATAAGTATATATGTATGTGAATTAAGAGAGTAAGCTATACAGGAGAAAAATAAAGCATAGAAAGCTCCAGATGCAATGGAAGAGATTCGTTTAGGTTTGTCAGGTTTTGTGCAAAGGTCAACTATATTACATATTAACTATACATATTAACTTCAACAGGTAGAATTGTCTTCACAAAGCATGAAAGAAGGGATGAATTGTGAATTTTTTTTTTGTTTTTGTTTTTTAAGATCATAAATGCTTGCACATTTCTAACATAATGATATTGATGTCTGGGCTGGGTCCTTTATGTCCAACAAACACTTTTTGGGGTTTCAAACGGAACAGAATATGGTGAATGGTAATTCATGGGGCTTAGCCAATGGCTTATTATTTAGTTGTTTGCCAACATTTCAGAAATTTTATTTCTATCATCAGTGCCATAATGTAGAGAACCAAAATAGAACACTATCCTTTTTAACTGAAATTATAAAAATAATGCTCAGTTCAGGTACAATACAAATAATATGGTATAATATAATTTTATGCATTGAAACTCAACACCATTTACTAGCAAAGTGGGGGGCGCCTCCCTAGGGAGGCATAGAGACTAGTCAAGGGGGGCACGGGACCCATTGAGCGGTGGAATACCTGAACATTCCTGACGACTTGACATGCTAGGAAGACGTATTTTGTCAGAGTTGCCTTGTTGCTTTGTGCGATTTGTGACATTAGATATCGTTCAAGAAAACTCAAGTATAACAATGATTATATTAAATATTGGTTACTATCATGTTTCAGGATGGCATCAAACATCCTCAGTGTGTTATTTGCTATGGAGTATTGAGCAATTTGTGGCAGAGAGCACTTTCAATGCCATGTTGCAAGTGAAACAAAGTATTAGGGTAAACTTTACATTGTTAAAATTTACATTGTGAACTTTCTAACACTCATTTAGTGATTGGGAATGAGCTAAAAAATGCAAACTTATCCTTCTCACTAATTTTTCTTGTACCCTGTTTAATTTATATTTCAACTTGTAATATTAATTAGGCATAATCATATTGCATTTTCTTTACCTCACCAAAAACAAACAAACGTTACAATAAGATGTTAAAAAAAACGTAATTAACTTGTAAAATTTTAAAGAGTAAAAAATAGATGTATTTTTACTCAATGTAACACTTGTTTAATCATTACCTATTTAAAAATGTGCAAGAGGGTGTGGGAAGCTTTGCTATTGACAGACGGGTGTGATAAAAAAATTGGAAACTCCCGCTCTACGCTAAACAGTAAAATAAACAATGTTCTTTAGGACCTACCACCAAAAATCATATATGAAATCATAATTATCAATCCTTAATGAAATAATAAAACAAAATATTTATAACAATTATAAATGACTATATTTATGCACAGAATATTTAATTTATATTTCAATGATTTTGAAATTAGTAAAAAAAAGGTAAAAGAAAACATATAGGTATACTAAAAATTGTCATAACACTAGAGAACATTAACATAAATGTTGAAACATCAGTAATTGTTATTATCTATAGAGAGAGAAGCTATATTGTATTGTAGTTTGAAGCCTGATATTCCATCAAGTTTTGTGTTTGTATAATCGAATATGAAAGATTTCATGTGAAAGATGTAGAAAGCAATAGGAATGAAATAGAAGTCTAGACAAGGAATTCTAGAGTGGGGTAATTAATCACAGTTTTTGAATCGAAGTACAGCTGTAGGAGAATTAAAAAACGAAAATTTATTAAAATATTTGTTATGTTAATGGGATTTTAAAATATTGGTATAATTGGTTTGATCTATCCAAAATCTGATTTATATTAAAATTGGACTGGTGG